GTGAATATGGGGTGTCTTTGATGAGGGGATTTCGGCCATGTGAAGGGTGAGAGAAGGGGGTGGTTTGGTTATGTGAAGGGTGAGGTGAGGGGCTGTATTTTTGGTCCACACATGAGGAATAATACATTAAGGATTATCCTTTATTCCTTTGGTTTTATTGTGGATTTGAAGGGTGATAAATGGGATATTTGGGGGGCTGAATTCGGCCATGGGCATAAGGGGGTGTGAAAGGGTGTGGGTTTGATGTATTATCACAACAGGACAAAAGACATGTTTTATTCCTTGTCCCCTGGTTTGTTCCTCTTGTAGTGGGGGATGTTTGTGATGGATGGGGACTGATTTTAAGGACAAATGGGGGCATATTTTCGTGACTTTGAAGTAGGAAGGGATGGGGAAGGTTCTTATTTGATGAAAGGAATATTTATGGAAGAAAACAACACTCACATTATTTTGGATTGTACCCTTCCTTTGAATTTCGGCCAGGTCAAGGGAGAGGAAAAGGGCTTTATTTGAGTAGTAAAAATACTTTGGATATGTGGGAGTGGGTTGGGCTTGTAGGCATTTCGGCCTAGGTTGGGTTTTGGGAGAGATAGGTCATGGTTTGGGTTTTGGTGTGGGATGGATCAATGAGTTCAACCCAAAATGGATCATTACACCTAGACATTAAACACTTGATTTCTTTTAATACTAGTGGCGTGTGTGAAGGTGTAACCTGGGGTATATCACAGAATGAAGGGCAGGAGAAAAGCAATATTATGGAGTGGTTTTTGATGAAGAAATGAAGTTTTTAAATGGGGGAAAGGGGATGGACGAAATTGGGAGAGAAAAAGGGAGTTCTTTGGTGGTTTTCTTGTTGTATAAGGATAAACTAAATAATGAATAAGAGATAAACACACTCTTATTTTATTTGGGGCTATTTCTTTTCACACAATAATATTCACTACTATTATATGAAATAGACTCCAAACACACACTCTGATGTACCCAAGCTTAGGAAAAACTATGGATAAATAAGGACAAATTATAGAGGGGAATATATTGTGAAGAATAGGTTGGATTTGTGTATGAAATGGTGAAGAAAGTAGGGTTGTTTGGGAGAGGTGATAGGGCAGAATGAAGGTCAGGAGAAAATGTAACGCCACAAAATATGGCCTAAAATTTATTATAAAGTAATTTTTTTGTCCAATAAGAAATATTTATACGTTTGACCAAAAATAAATGGATTTTCAAAATAATGACTTTTTGTTAAAAAGTTATATTTATGGATATATCTCGAAGAGACGAATCCAACGGTACATTTTATGAACCAATTTAATTTATAGATTTCAAGTTATGTCAATTTTAAATATTAAAATTTGTAACTTTGACCCATAAAATAAAATAAACTCAATTCAAAAGAGATTTCATAAGATTAGAAATCTTAATCTTTGACACTTGACAACATCATATTAATCATTTGGATTTAATTCGTATATTTTTATCTCATTCATATTATTAAATTAATTTATGACTGAGACAGACCCAGACACTAAGAAAAATAAAATTTCTCAGAATAATATTTTGATTACGTCAAAATTCTAGTTTTGACAGTCTGATTTCAAAAACGCAATCCGTTTTCAATTCGGAACAGTTTGGGCGAAAAAGCACGTACCGTTTGGAGTAAACTATTCAGTTTGGACAAATCCACACAACTCCATTCCCTCTCCCATTTCTCTCTCTGTCGGCCAAACAACAAGGAGAAAAACACAAAAACTCCATTGTTGTGTACTAAGGAAGGAGATGAAGAAGCAAGAAAACCATCCATAGTTTCCAAATCATGAGTTCCAAACGCAGCATCAACTTCTACGTAAGTTCTGTAATTTTCCATCCATAATATCGAAATACCTTTTGAACCAGAGTTGTAGCCCCAGACAATACGAATCCAGCCTAACAAACGGCTCGCGATTTCGTTAAGTAACGAAGAAGATATGGCCAAAATACCGGGACTGCGCCAGTGGTGGCGAGCTCCTCGGGTTGGACCATTTTCTTCACCAAATTCACATTGTTTCATTCCAAGAACTTACCATAAACTCTCTAACACTTCTTAGGAACATCCGGAAGGTATCATAGAGAAGGTTCGGCGTTAGAATATTGAAGTTAATGAGATAACCGTCGGAATCGTTGTTCGTCGGAACATCCAAAATCCTGGCAGCAACTATGAGTCCACTTGTGAGCTATATTTGACCACTTTAAACTCATTATTTTAACATGGTTCCTTCACGATAGTTGTAGCCTTACGTCTTAGAAATTGACAGAATCAAACGGTTTGCGATTCCGTGAAGAAACGATGGAGATATGCTCAAAATACCACAGGCTGTCCAATTGTGACGGGAATGACAAAGTTGGTGATTTCCGATGTTGTTTCCACTCCCGCTCATCCGTAAGCTTTCGGCCGATGATTTCCAGGTCTGTACCTTTGCGTTAGACTTGTCGAATCATTCATCACATTCGTACATGAACATATATGTTAATCCATTTGTTGAAATCATTCCAAAATATATGTGTGATGCATATATAAGTCATCTATGTGTTAAGACCAAAATACACCAAATTCATAAAGTTAATATATATACATAAGTATATTTAACCATTCGAAATCAACCCAACAACATGTATATGTTAATCAAAGGTGTTTAAAAGACTTAAAGAAGTATTTTTGGACACTCAAAATATCAAGAGATAGATTCGCAGACCCAAACGGTCGACGCAAACGGTCGACCGTCGTATTAAACTTCGAAACGGACCGCGACTGCCAGCAGAACGGCCGACCACCGTCGGCGAACGGTCAACCGCCGCCAGCCAAATGAAGTCCGCCATCCGCAGCCAGTCAACAACGGTCGACCGCCGGTCAACCACGGTCGACCGTCACGGTGATCCGTCAAATCCGACCTGATGAAGATCAAGGTCGACCGTCGCGCCAAACGGTCGACCGTTCCGAGCCCCGTAGCTTAATTAAATGATATTTTTATCAGATTTCACCCAA